ATAAACACATGCAATTTGCAGCAACATGGATGGAGCTGGAAGGGATCATGCTCAGCGAAATAAGCCAGAAAGAAAAAGGAAAATACTGGATGGTCTCACTCATAGCAGGAATCTAGAAAACCTAAATAAGGGACAAGGAAAAAGAATAACTATAAGAAAGAAAAAATCAAAATCAACAAACAACTATAAACCAGAGACACACTTTGGGGGGAGGGGTAGGGAAAGGAAGGATTGGGGTCAAAATAAGGGAGGTGCAACTGAATGGGGAATATAAAATGAAAGAAGCACTCCTAAACTTGTCTTATGAAACTAATACAACTATGAAATCAAAATGTGGCAAGGACAATATAAGAAATAAGAGATTACAGGCAAATGTCATTTATGAAAATAAAATTTAAAAACCTAAACAAAATAATAGCAAGTCAATCACAGCAATATATAAACATGATATATATTGACAAACCTGGGTGTATTCAATGATGAAAGATTGTTTAACATTAGGAAAAAATGTTACCTATCACACCAACATTAAAAAGAGAAATAACATGATTTTCAATAGGGGTAAAGAAAGCTATAAAATACTTCAGCATTCATCTATGTTAAGAAATCTCAGCAAACTGAAATTGAAACTTCCTTGTAAGGGTATCTATAAAAACCTTACAGTAGACAGGCATCAACAAAACGGTAACATTTAAAATTTTTCTCTTTGGTGATATACAGGGATATCAGACATCATTATTTCTTCTCAACATTGTACTAGAAGTGCTCAAAGGAATAATGCAAAATAAATAAAAGAAGAACTGGAAAGGTACAGATTAAATTTTCATCATTTATGGATATTACTGTTTTCTGGATACAATTGCTGGTTTGCAGAATAGTGATCCAGTAAGCATATGGCATGCTTGGCCCTAAGCCTGTATATAAATCACTACGTAAATATATAGTATCTGCAAATACAATGACCTATGAGAAGACAGCTAAGTTCAATGTTCTTCCTTAAGTAAAGAACCATTAAAAATTTGCTGTAGCTAGTCTTCAAAGAACACAACTAACAATCTACATAATTAATCCCTTAATACTGTCTCCGTGGAAGTCTCTTGTGATATTTAGAATTCTCCTTTTTATAAACCCAGATATCTTGTTTTTTTATTGCTGAAAAGAGTGTAAATTTGGAATGATTGCAGTATCATTGTAAATAGAAGATCATTCTTACTTTTGCTCTTTTCATACCAAGATCATATAAACATAAATGTAGGAGCTTTCCCTTAATTTCTTTCTTTCTTCAGGGTGAGATGGAAGGATGGTAACATTTGTAGTCAAATTGTATCCTGAAAACTAAATGTTTTTTCTTCTCACAGAGGAGTCCATGGATTCTGTATATAGTCAAATCTGATTTTCACTCAGGATACTGAAGTTACAGACACTTTCAAGTCAATCTGCCCTTTCAGCTTTTGTTTATGCATGATCTAGAGTTTCCGTAAGAATAGCCTCTTCCCACCCTTGAGATGAGACTGAGAATATGTATGCAGAGATTCTTTTTTTTTTTTTTGGTGGGACCCTCGCCAGCGGCCGGGGAATGAACCGGCACTACAGAGACTGCGGGCAGCCTTGCAACCCAACACTCAACCACTGCACCACCAGGGAGAGATTCTTAACAATTATCTTCCATTAACGCTCTGTTAAGTGATACTATTCAACTGTTCAATTTCTCTAGCTTTCCTTTTCCTTCAAACCATCCCAAAGTATCCCATGGTATCTTCAGATTTAAACACTAAAGAGAAAATCCTCAAAGTACTAACAACTTGTCCCTTTATCTTATTGAGTCATAGTGGTTCAACACATAGAATCATTCTTTTATTAAAACCATAGCACAAATCATCTATTTTATCAAGGTTCTATTGTTTTAGATTATGAAGTTACATACATTTCACATTTTACTGGATTTGATTCATCTGAAGTCATCCAATTTGACCAGAGTGTTCATTTACCTTAATACAGACATAAATCTATGCTGCACATGGGCAGCATGTGAAAGTCCACACAAAGATACTCAAAACATTTGTACCAAAGTGGTCTTGGAAGGTTTTTAAATAAATGCCATTTTAAGTCCAACAGTTTCTTTTTTGTCCCTGACCTTTCTTTCAGCATATATTTTTTCAGAATTGAGTTGCTAAAAATATATGTAAATAAATAAACACAAACCACAATCTATCAATAAAAGAGGTTCTGCTCTTTAAAAGGTTGCAGTTAGCCTTTTCTGTATTCTATAAAGGCTCGTAGGCTGAGTTAACTAGATGTTTGAATTGTTTGTGCAAGACAGATGACAAATGAACTTTGTGGTCATACAGATAAGATTCTCATTTTACTATATATTACAGAAATGTTTTAAAGAACAGTTCTATCATCACATTTGTTTGTTATTCATTTACAGGAAGTTAGAATGTTAAGAATTTTATTAGAGTGCTAAGAATTATTTAATTTGATCTGCATATAGTGATCAACTAAGGAAGATACTACCTTTATCCTCAGTTTACAAAGAAAAAACATGGTCTATCGGGAGTTAACAACTGCCCAAAGACATACACATCACTATGGAATAGCAGAATCGAGAAAGAACTTGTGAAGACTGAATCATTACAGTCTTGTAGCCTACTGATCCAGTAAGTTTACCCCACACCTGGTACTAACCTGAATTTATAAAATCAGAATGAAGAAGGGGTTTTAGGCGAGCGTTTGAAATGTATGGGAGAAACTCAGCTCTCAAACATTATAGATATTACATTTCAAATGTTATTTACCTAAATTCCTAAAAGTTTATTATATGCAGATTTTTAGTCTTTTACATAAATCCAAGTAATTAATATTTCCAGTGATATCACTGAAGAACAGGCTTGACCACAAAACTAAATTGTAAGGGAGTGCTCTACAGTGGGTATACAAAGCTGTCCAGGCCACTATCTCGACCTTCCATCCCAAAATAAGATCTGGAGATGGGAGTATCTTCATCACAAATTAACACATTTAAGATTATCCATTTAAACCCAGAGACTCTCTTTCTTCCCACTGGTATCCTTGCTTAGGATGATACTGCATCCCTTTCTAATCCTAAAATATAAAGATTATTATCAACAGAATGATATCATATTCAATGATTATTAATACTCTATTATTTTAATAAAATCTATTATTTTCATCACACATCAATTTTTCCTGATTTGTTCAAACAAATACCTCCTCTTATAACTAATTTACCTATTAGGAGGAAATTATGTTGCTACTTAAAAAGGACCTCTAGATTTGCTGGATTATTATATTTTCAAGTCCGGTATTCTTAAATTTTATACAATTTTTTTTTCTGAATGAATAATGGACACATTCCATATTGAAAAGCTTTTATAACCATTTTAAGACAAGATAAACAGGTATTTTTTATGCTGCTTTAGGTGCTAGAAATTTTCCTATATGTTTTGGCTAGGTTAAGAGTCAGTAGAATTAATCAGACAAAAAGAAGGCATGAGTGCATATGAAATTCAAATCTTATCTAAAGGTAGCAGAACCTATTGTGATCATAAAGACAAACACAAAGCATCAGCCTACTAAGTTTTACCACTGGAATCTGTCTCTGCCAAACAAGTAAAACATGCCACTCTCTGGGAAAATGGACACACACACACACTGAAATGTATATAACGCAAAGTCTAAACTTCCACAAAACCTGAAATAGCAATGAAGGATGTTTACAAAATACTCTACATTCAAATACTGTTCACCTCTGATTAACATCATCAGCTTTGATTTTTTTTTATACATGAGGATCACTTGATCCCTATATTCCACATTACTTGGTTTGAATAGAAACCAGCTGTCATCTACTAGATTTACTGGAGTTTGTGCAGGAGAGAGTTTTAAGAGGCATATAAAACTTGGCAGAAAACGATGAGTACGTACATGTAGTTAAATGGGCAAAAAAATGGATTAGCATGGCTAGTAAGTAGACTTCAAAGAACATTTTGTGTTTCTTGACTTTGAGACATCCTAGAAAATGATTATAAATGGTGTGGAAACCTCTCAAATATATTTCTAAACATACGTTGAAATAGATTCAGGCATAAGACATTCTTTTCCCTTTTGAATTAGACCTAAATAATATATATGTTCATGATTTTAAGTTAGAGGTCATTTTATGAAGCATCTTGAATCTAGACCTGAATTTATCATGCAAAGAAACAGAGCAAAAATAATATAAAGAAGAAAAAAAATCTTAAAATGTTCATTGAAAAAAAATCCAGAGCAGACTAAAGACTGAAAAAAATTAGGCTACTTATTCAACAACTGTCTGTTTTAATAACTGCACAGAGTAAGAAATAGGGGGATTTCAGGACAGCAAACAAGGATCCTAACACAATTATTTATAATAAATGCTTATAGTATATTATGATGCTGTGTATTGCACCTCAGTACAAAGGAAATGTCAATGCAGCTCCCTTTCCTATCCTTCCCAGCCTCAACTTACACCAGAATGCATGCCATGAAATACTGAGATTTCACATTAATTAAGAAGTTAATACTTAGTTTTTCCTTAGAAATAGTCAAACATAAAAGTGGTTACAAACATCAAAGATTACGTAAACTGTATCCTGGAAAAATTATTTAATGACATATCAATTCTTTCTGAGAAAAACTTCATGGAAGCTATTTCTGAGGAGCTCTTTCATATGTAGAATATTGGCTTTTACAGATATTTCTAACTGGCTAAGCCTGTATAACTCCTCAGAAAAACAGTATTTCTATATTCATTCTATTGTACTTCCTGGCTGTAAGATCCTTAGTCAATCAATCAAATAATAAATGCCTATATTTAAAAAAAAAATGTGTTATCTCAAAAACCAGTTAAGGTGGATATAGAAGTAACTTCACTTGGCTGTAAATTAATAACCTTAATCAACAGATATTAAATAAAATGACCAGGAAAACAGGTTACAGAGTGCTGTAACCTAAAAGTTGTATGGAGGGGAACGATCTGACTTAGCCAGCTGTCCTAAGTCAGACAGAGACCTCCATGTTTATGTAGGATCACTGCGATTTGTAGACAAAAGGCATTTTTCATTTGTCCACATGGTTAGTTCCTGCAGGTTCCATTTTTGGAGTGAATCCTTTTATTAACCAGTCCTTTTCTTAATTTTTTGTTTGGTTAACCAACTTCCTGACTGCCTCAAATACTCATTTAAATACACTTTAATACATTCATTAAAGCAGGATTCAGATAACAGAAAAAGAACCATTAAAAAGGCACAGTTAACATACAAAGTGAAAGTTACCTTTACTCAGGGAGAAAAGGTCGGAAAGAACATGTACAAAGGAAAGAAAATGAAGATACAAAAAAAAAAAAAAAAATCACAAAATTTCTAAGCTGCCTTCATTCCCAATGCTTTAAAAATTTTTACCTTCTCATCAAAGAGGTTCAAATCAACTTAATTTTCTTTACCACAAAGCACTCAATATTATTTGCAGACACTTAAAACTTCCCTCACATGTCAATACCGCTAGACCCTGGATGTTCTCCTGAAAAATAGCTTGAGAAAAATGTGCTGGCAATGGCATATTTGACAGGAAAAAAAGTGGTGGTAATTGTGAGGGGCCTCGTTGTCTAATGGCACAATATAATTAACATAAAACAAAGAGGAGTGCAAGAAAGAGTATCTGGGCACAGAGAGGCAGCTCAGTCAAAAGTACAAGATTAAAATAGATAAAATAAATAGATTTGAAGATCTACTAGCAGTTTGATTTTGTTGGAATGTAAAATATGCCTATGTAAGTAGTAGGCGATCATGCTAGAGGGGTAGAGACCTGAAGAAGAAAGTTATATAAATAAGCTTAGGTTTTACTCTATAATCACCAAGACACTGCTGAATGATTTTAAGCAGCACAGATAAATGAGCCTTGGACTTTTAAGAAGTAGTGGCAGAGTACGATAAAAAGTCTGAGTGAAAAGTAATAGAGTAGCAGGGATAGAAAAACAGATGATTCATTCACGATATATTGAAAGGAAAACAACATCAGATTTGTGTGTGCTAAGAAACCTACCAAATCAATTTTTCATTTGTAAGACACCAGTCTTTTTTGGACAAAGCTTTGTACTTAAGGAAATTTATTTTAAATTTAAAGAACACCAAAGATTAGTACCATGTTTGATAAAATTTAAAAATTAATTCAGCATTCTCTACATTATGGTAAATCATTGCAATAGACTATGTTGTATGAATTCCTAAAGCAATTCTGTTTGTTCAATTCTGTTGGTTCATTCTTTGGCAGAATGCCAAAGTAGCATAAATGTGTTTTCTTCACAATTGTCAGATGCATATAGAAAGTCTGGTAAATTTTTATAGAAACATTCCTTAATTGAAAATTAAATAATTAAAAAATTCTTTATTATTATATTCTATTTTACATATTTTTACATTTTTCATTTTTTACAATGTATGCATTTTCATCTCGGTTATAGTCCCCGTGAAATTCCCACCACCCCCATGAACCATCACCACGGCCCCTTGTGCTCTTCCCAACCCTGTTTTGATCCTACTCTCGTCTCCCTGCGGAATGTCTCTGGTTTATAGTTGCCTATTGATTTTGATTTTTACTTTATTATAACTACATTTAATTTAAATATTCTTAATGGTTAAAATCAAGTCATGTCATGGCTTTTAGATAGCCTAAATATTTCTCCTACACTTAAAATTCTTACTTCTGGCTAAATTTGTATTGAGATTTTCATTTAGAAAACAAATTTCAAATAGATTATTTTACAGCTAATACCAATTCAAAGATTGAAATACCCCATGAAACTGAGTGGAGGGAATGAATGTTAAAAATGATATATATTTTGAAAAGTTAATCATCACTAAGATATTATCAAAAATAAAATGTTTATTTACTATTAAAAAGTTCTGAAATATGCTGATAATATCCCAATTTAAATAGCAAGAAGTCTGAGAATTAAATGATCACTAAAACTCCAACATTTATATCCAATTTAGAATATAAGTGTTGAAAACTAGAGAGCTGAGTTTAGAGATGGGGAAAGCAGTAAAGAATGAAGCACTTATACATACAACAATAAAAAAAGCTGGATATATTTAAATTAATGGTATCTTCTGAACTTACTAGAGAAGTGAGTCACTGGCAAAATAATCTGTAATCAGGAGAGACCAGCACCTCAGGGAGGGGAAATGCCAGAGGATTTCCTCACTTGGCATAAAAACAGCTGAAGACTCAGTAAAAAGATTAAGCTAATGTTTAACAAAATGGAACAAGGTAGTTATCATGAATTCTGAGGTCTCTGCCAGTATAAACATTAGAGTGATGGGGTTAATAGGTTAACTTCTCTTGCAAACTCTTCCATAAACCCCTATGGAAGACTAGAGAGACTCAGTCCTGAGAAAGTTTCTCATGTAGTGTTGGCTGGAGGAAGCAAACTGAAAGCATTTCCCAAACATCACCAACCAAATTTACCATCTCCCCTACAAAACAAAAGGATTAATCTGTAAGGAAAGTGGGAGAGAGTGGTGCATATAGATTGAAAGCACTGTAGGAACATACTGTAGTTTTACTTTTGGTTGAGAGGCAGAAACAGATGTTAAGTCCAGTAATAGCAGATAGCAATTGATAATATATCTAAATGCTTTTTACTATTATAATGCAAAGTGAGAAAATGCTTAAATGCAGATATAATAACTAGATGCAAAATATACCTACACTGCAAAACTAAAAAATATATAAGCTAAAGACTGGGAGGACAAACCTTAAACACTAACTGCAGTTCTGCTCAAGTGGTAGAATTACAGGTCATTTTTTCTTATTCTCTATTTTCTAAAAGTCTTTATTAGTTGAGAAAAATATAATACACTGAAGTTCACATGATAAAGGGATTAAAAAGGCCATTAGGTCTCCTGAGTAAGATATAACTATACTTTGAGTGTCCAAATGCTAAAGAAGTTTCTGCTTGGCTAGGTATTACTTTATAAATTACAAGCTTATAGGTAATCTGATTGTTTTTTACTCTTCTGATATACAACTTGTATATTTTAGAAGGCATAATAAGAGAAAACTATAATAATTCAAATGCAAATGTTCATTCAAAAAGCTAGAAACTCATGCTTATTTATAAAAGTAATTGAAAATTTATCACTTAAGTAAGACACAGCACCTACACCGAGTAGGACAATCTCTTCCTAAGGATTTATTCACAACTATTTAGAATCAATAATTTCATTCTTAGTAACTCAGGCTGATGTAAATCCCTAGACCTTACAAAAAACAGGATATACAAAAGCTTAAAAGCAACATTTTTAAATAGGTCTCACCTGATAGAAAACAAAAGATATTTAATTTATAATTATCACCAAAAAACAAAACATTTCTGCATATTACCTATATCAAATGGGTGAGTTAGAGTTAATGATATTTAAATACAGAGTAATAAAACCCTTGAGAAGTGATCTTTTTTTCCCCTGTTCCTAAAATAATAATTTGGAAAGGAAAAAATAAAAGGGAAAAGAGACATAAATAAAAACATACTTAATGCATAAACAGTAATCACATACTGATCAATATTAAGTACTTTTCTTCATTCTACTTATTTATTACATAATAACTAAAAACCTGTTTAAAAAACAACAAACAACAACTGGTGAGTACTCTAATAGAGAATGTAAAGCCTAAAGGGTAAGTCTATAGGGCTTTCCCTACCAACGTTAACTTTGACTTCCCATAAGGGATTCTAAAATTTGTTTTTTCATCAATAATTCATGCATTCTACTAAAAAAAAAAAACCCAAAACTATCAGATCTTTAAAACCTAGCTAAATGTAAAAGGTTTAAAATTAGAAGGCCTTAAACTTTTTACAAAACATATGAATTTGAGGAAATGAAAATATTCCTTATAAACAGGTATTTCTATTGAACTTTGAAGCCACAGGCTAACTTATTTAACAGGAAGAGGGATAACCCCCTCCTTTATTTTATTCTCTTCAGAATATAAGATAAAATGGTTTTAAATCCATATAAATCTCTATATCAGTTATCCATTCTTAATAGCTGAAATTGTGGAGTAATCTAAATCTTTAAGTCTTCCATTAGTGCAGAAATCAAGGATTAGCATGTGAATTATAGCTCTGGTCAGTTACTAAAATGGCATAAGAAAAGGTATCTAGGGCCTCCCTGGTGGCACACTGTGAAGCTGTCCTCACTGTGAAGCTGTCCGCAGCCTACATGGTGAAGCAGACCTCTCCTGTCTCGCCCGCTGCTCCCCTCCGCAGTGTATTTCCTCAGTCTGCCTGTTCTGCTCCCCACTCTGTCTTTAGTGAATCCTCTCACCCTCCTGCACATCTGGCCTATACCCCTGTTCTTGTATAAATAAATAAATCTTAAAAAAAAAAAAAAAAGAATAGGTATCTAAGCATGACTTGTGAAACTTAAATTATTCCTGGCTGCTAAAAATACAGATTACATCCATTCAGTTACATATTTCAAACCAGACAATTATTTAAATATTCCATTTCTTATTTACTAGGTTATAATACTACCTTAGGATTCAAAAGAACTTTTTTGAGAAAGATAATTACAACAATTCTTAGTAGTTCTAAGATAAACCAATGTTTAGGATGGTGTGAGAAATTAAAAACAAAAAACAATGTTAAAAGCAAAATCAACTACTACTCTTTCTCTCTTTCAATCTTTAGAAAACAACTTGTAAAGACAATGTATGGTGAGTCATAAAACCACAGCTCTAGATACTTAGGATTTAAAATAGTAAGTTACCAGAAAGGAACTCAATCTTTTTTTTTTTTAAAAAAAGATTTATTTATTAATTTATACAAGCACTGGGTACAGTCAGAAGCGCGGAAGGGTGAGAGAATTCACCAGAGTCAGAGCGGAGAGCAGAGCAGGCAGATTGATGAAGTACACTGCTGAGGGGAGCAGCGGGTGGCAGGAGAGGTCTGCGTGCCATGTGGGACCCTCACCCGGTGGCCGGGTATCGAACCAGTGCTGCAGTGGCTGCGGGCAGCTTCGCAACACAGCACTCAACAGCTGCACCACCGGGGAGGGCCAAAGAACTGAATCTTGATGTCAGATTTACTTTCTA